TATAATGAACATTTTAAATGCGCCAGAGTTTGTTCTTTACTCCCATTGGTGGAAGGAAAGACATTCACTTTGTTATGTGATCAGCCGTCAACAAAGATACTTACTAATTTGGCATAAAAATTTTAATCACTTCACAGCATGTTCAGCAATTAGGATATCAAAAAGCACATTGGCAATTAAAAATGTGGGTCAGAAAACTAAACAGAAAAGGACAGGCTATAGAACATATAACATTCCAAGGTTGCAGTGGGTTGGGTTGGTGCAATGAGTGACTTGACATCTATGAAAATGAAAACATTTGGTACCATTAAGCACAGTGGGATACATCTGTAGTTGGGATTGAAATCCAAGTCTATATTATAGCCATGGGATATCATGCCCCAAAGTTCAGGGAGGAAAATCTGGTGGCATACATCTGAACAGCTAACGGCCAACTTCCGTCATCTTCAACTTTGAGCACTTTTTGATGAAACATTAGTTGGACTTCAAACAAATACCTTCCTTCTTTTTGGGGGGGGGAGGGGATGACACATACATTGAATGAGATATTTTGCACAACGATCTTCATTGTAAAAACATGTCCACATTCTAACCTCATTACAAGGATGAGACTGAGATCTAATTTATAAAAGTCTTTCCAGGATTCCGCGAGTTGTCTGAAAGTGAATTCATTGGGTTGTGTCCGGAAAGCTAGTCACTCTTTAGTTCCCTTGAAATCAATAATAATAATAATAATAATAATAATTTATTTATATCCCACCCTCCCCAGCCGAAGCCAGACTCAGAGCGGCTAACAACAGTAAAATAATACAGCATTCTAAAATCAATTCATTCTAAAATCAGTTTGAATCAAATTGATGGCAACCATTGGGCCATCAATGTTCTGTGAAGAATTACCAAAGGCGGGGGTCAGGCTGTGCCTTGGCCAAAGACCTGGTGGAACAGCTCTATCTTGCAGGCCCTGCGGAAAGATGTCAAGTCCCGCAGGGCCCTAGTCTCTTGTGACAGAGCATTCCACCAGATCGGAGCCACAGCCGAAAAAGCGCTGGCTCTGGATGGGACAAGTTAGCTTCCAATTGAACTAAAGCATGGCTGACTAATGGGAGAGTCCTGTGGCAAGATCCACCAGGATGAACGACGTAGGATGTAGCAGATCTCTAGCTCAGACAGGCTCAGCTGTCATTAAGTCCCCAACCTTAGTCAAAGATGTGCTGGCATATCCAACTTGCCCATCCAAGTCCAGCTGGGTTCAGCTGGCTAAGCCAAAGCTGAAATAGGTCCCCACAAAGTGGTGGTGTACTGGGGTATGATCAGATGGGCGGGGGTGGGGGACTTAGGCTGGATCCTAAGCCTGTTAGCTCCGTCACGTGGCCTAGAAATGCAGCATGGACTGCTATTTTTAAAGGTTGTTTTTCCTCCAACAGGCTTAGGTAGAGCAGTAGCAGCAGCTCCATTGCTGAACAGGGTTTGGATTGGGTGTAACTGATTTGTATCCTGCCTTTCTATCAAGTGAAAACCACACCCCTCCACTCCATGGCATTATAAGTGTTTAAGTTAAGTTGTGGGTGAACATATCAGATGATACAGCGATTCTTCAAACAGCTCTTGTTTATTCACAGGCCAGGACAGAACTGAACTGAAGGGTTCAGTCAGAGCTCCAGTACAACGTAACTGTGACAATTTTCTAAAACTATCCAATCACTGAATGTCACTTTCGATCCCTTATTTGCATAACTATCTACATTATCCCCCTGCTGGCACAGGGTGAGAACTTCAGTACATAACAGTTTAGGCACTCGGGCAGGTCAGTTCCCCCAAATATCTTGCTCCATAATTCTTTTTTGGGGGGTGGAGGTTCAACTGACACATAAACATTCCATATGTCAAATACTTCTAACAGTAAATTATGCAGAACCAGCAGCATTCCTTTACAGCAGGGCTCTGTATCTCTATTTCTAGGATTTTTTTATAGCTATACAGAGAAATAAAAAAAGGTGGCGATAGTAAGGCTACAGAACCAGTTTTCTGGGCAAGGTATATGCACAAGGGGGAAAAAAGGCTGCCTCTGTTTCAAGGCTGTTGCAAGAGCAAGGGAGGGGGAAGCAATTTTACCTCTGTTTAAGATGAGCTCGCATCTTTCTTTGCAGACAGCATGTTCTAATGATCACTTAGGAGCTGTATTTCCTGGTGTTTCTATTTCTTTACTGAGAAAACCTTAGGGGCAGCATCTGGTCTTGCTCTTTCTTCACTTTTCCAGCTGTGCTAAGGTCAAGGCACAAGTAGGTCAACCATCTTGTCTACAAGTCACATTGTAAATGCTTCATTTGCTCTAAATTAGTAGGCCTGCAATGGGCCTAAATTTGGGGCACTTTCAGCAGTATTTCTCAAACTTTTTGAAGCAGGTAGTGCCATCTTATCCTTCATCTCAGGTAACAAAACTGGGTGAAAAACATGCAACCCTGCTAGAACCCTCCTGAAACATAACAAAAAAAGAAAGGAAAAGGTTTTCTTTATCCCATGAGTCTTAATTCCTTTTTCATAGGGATTGTTACACCATGTAACACAAAAGCAATAATTTGTAAATATACGTAACCACGGCATGTGAGCAAAAGCTTGGGATCATTGACTGCAAAATGCCTGCGCCTTACGGAAATAATATATGAGTTTTGAATTATTACTAGGTGTGTGCGTATTTCTGTGATCTCTGTGCTTATAAGGTATACAGTTCACAGCGTTCAAAAGGACTGTAGTAATGACATCAGGGAAGTCAATTTGTTTTTTAAAAATTAGTTTTGGCTTTAGGCAACAAAACGACTGCTGTTCCCTAAAAGACCCAATATTAATTTTGTGCACTGAGACAAATTTGCACCTCCTACCCTTCTAGCATCTGCATAATTCCATTTCAGCTATTTAGGACCATAGGTTTTAAAGACATTTACAGTGGTTCCCTGCTGATACATTCATTGCTGTATCATAGAGAAGAAAGCCATTCATTTCCTTATTAAAGATTCAGAATGGAAGTCGAATAATCCCACACTGCACTAAGTTTATGCAGATCATCTGAAGATAGCCTTATAACTCAGCAAAGGATACCAGGTGTCTAGAGGGTCACAGAATAAATGCATTTCATATTAAACATGTTTTCATTTGAACTTCTGAAACACAGAAGAAAGCAAATGCATGGTGGATGTGGCGGTGAAGAGGCTCGCGTGTCTGTAAGTGTCCCTTTATTTTTTAAATACCAGGTACAGCCGTATGTTAACATTATTTTTGCAATAAATTGGTCACTTGAAAATTAGCAAATTGAATTTTAAGCTAAATGTCTTTGTAGCTTTTATGATATTTGCTAAATTGGCACATTTCCACTTTGTTATTGCTGTTCAGCACTTTAGTACATATTCCCCCCCCCCATCTCCCATCATAATTATGCATTTTGAACTTTCTACTCAAATGCACTAAAACAAGCAACAGGGAAAGAATAATGGAAATATACAATCTAATTTGACTACAGGTTGCAGTAGTAATGGGCACATCTGACATTTCGGGAAAGAGTCATGGGCATCACCCTCTCCTGTCATTTCTCTTTCCTAGGACATGCTTTCCATAAAAAGAGGGAAAACTCAGACACAGATTATTTGCTTTTCCATGGCACCTGGGTGAAAGTCAGATACAGAAGAATTAAGGCATATAGTCTTGAATTTGGATGGCTTTAAATGTGATACCCAAAAAGCTACCATCAGATTAAAATTTGCATTGGTGGACTGCAAAGTAAAAAAGCACAGATCCAGTGCACCACAAAAAAAGCACTGAGACAAGGGAATGGTCCTAATGATGACAAGAGCAAAAAAGTATCATTTACCAACTTTAACTACACAAACAGTGGAGTCTGGATGAATCTTCTAAGCCTACTGGAGTTTCCCCAATATGTTTAGTCATGACTGGTTATACAGTTGTACCTTGGCTCCCGAATGTCTTGGCACTCAGATGTTTTGGCTCCCGAATGCCGCAAACCCAGAAGTGAGTGCTCCGAACGTTCTTTGGAACCCAAATGTCTGATGGGGCTTCCATGGCTTCTGGTTGGCTGCAGGAGCCAATCTGAAGCTGTGCTTTGGTTTCCGAAAGTTTTAGAAGTTGAACGGACTTCCGGGACGGATTCCGTTCAACTTCCAAGGTACAACTGTACATATATTCAGAAGAAGTGCTGCATAACCTAACATTGTTCAAATTTGCATGCTGTTATTCTTTGTAAATATTTTTTATTAAAAGATTTTCATCTCTCTCTCTCTCTCTCTTTGGTTCGATTATAAAATCTTTTGGTTATGTTCAGTGTAAGACAATATGGTATCCAGAGGTAGGGGGAAATGCTGTTTTTAAAGATTATATATATATATATATATATATAGCAAGAAGTTATTAGTTTGTGGTCTAGGTGTGAATGAACTTTAAAACACACACAATAGAATTGCCTATAATGGTAAAGAAGAGAACCATCTCTATAGGAATTGGCATTAAAGACCAGTTTTTCTTGCTTCTGCTATTCAGTGTAGCCACTAGTTTGTTTTTAAATAGTGCTTTAAAATGTTGATGCAATCATATGGTTTTATTTTACTTATATGTTTTGTGAGCTTCCTTGGGTATTCATAGCTGAAAGAAATATTTTTATTCATAAAGGCAGCATTTTTGGATTAGAAAGTAAAAGAACTCACAGATTAATCTTTCCTGTTTGGTTGGCTAACAAAAATGGCATTTGCAGCTTTAAACTACTGATATTGCTGACTTTATTGATCATTCATTATAATTATAAGACTATTACCTGGGAGCAGTTTCCATTGAGCACATGTGGCTCACTTCAGAGTAGACCTGTACAGAATTTGCCTGTCAGCATTCCTTCTTTGTTCACCAGAAAAAAGTCAGATATAGTGAAATTTGGCTTTGCGTGTCGAGGTCCCCAGGGCCACCCCAATAACTCACACATCACACAGAATTTTTTGTTTAAGATTTTTGGCATAATTTTGGCCACAACTTTATTGAAATACAAATTTGTGAGTAGTTGCTTAGGCATTGGTTCCGACTATCTGCCCCCACCATGGGGGACAGACTGACATTCCGCACGATGCGAAAATCAGAATAGGGGAATACACTTGGGGGTTACGTGGAGCAGGGAACCTGCCCTCACCCCAAATGCAACCAGGAGCTCATTGCTATGGCCCGAGCCCCCTTGACAGAGTGGACAAGCAATAGTTAGCCCCCAATTCCTTTAACGGAATCCCTTGCCGCAGCAGCATTAGAGGGGCAGGCACTCAACCTACCAAGGGCAGGCACTCAACCACTTCCCCTCAACCAACCAAACCATAAACCAATGCCTAACCGCCACCGAGCACTCAAGCTCGCCACCAACCACTCACAACTGCAACCCTTCCTTCAATCCCAAAGCAACCGCATCCAGCCAGGTGTCATTCCCTATAGGGGAAAGATGTACCCCATCTGCCCTAAAGAGGGCAACAGCCTTGAAGGAAATAGCAGGGTGCAATATCGCAGAACCACCTAAAGCAAGGACCTATTTTATTTTATTGGTTATTTTATTTTATTTATTTATTTTATTTTATTTTATTTTATTTTCCACCGCCTTATTAACATGCTTTCTGGCCTGCTCGGTGGTAGTTTGTCTAGGCATTGGTTCCAACTATCTGCACCTGACCGCAGCAGGGCAGCACTGACGACTGGGCCCCACCATATCGTCAGTACAAGCAAACATCGTGGGGGAGCAATGAACCAGGATCAGACTCAAGCGCACCCCAAATGCTCCAGGGACCCTTGCGTGGCCCTACCCCTCAAAAGGGGTCGACAAAAGCATGGCGAATCCTTGGATTCCTTTAAAGGATTACCTTTGCGCATTGGAGGGGACAGGTGCTCCGACCCCCCCTCCAGACCACCTTGAACCAATGCCTTAAATTATTTTGAGTCCAGGGAGAGCTGCCATCAACTCATCCAAGTCCTCCTGCATGCAGGAACGCAAACTTATGCTGTAAGAAGACGGCAAGTTATTCTCGTCCAGCTGCACCACTAGCACTGCGGGAGGACCTGCACAGGTCACACTCGACCGCACCAAAGGAAGGAACTCCTTCCAAAGCATTCCCCATCTGGACACCCAGTATATGTTCACATGGGCAGGAAGACTGAGATGGCGCCCCAGTCCAGACTCGTCAGCGCGCTTGCCAGCCCAGTGTACAATGCTGTGACCGACAATCCAAATGTGCACAGCTGCTCCTATGAAAAAAGGAAATAACAGACAGGCATCAGCACAGACATCATTGGTGACACTTCCTGATGTAACCCTTGTCAGCATCAGACTTCCAATGACCCGTATTCACAATCCTGTCTACTGACAGGCCCCCAGTGTGCAGCCTTTGCAGCAGCCCTATTCGGAAGGAATGAGGCGTGTTCAGCGGTAGGCATGCCGCAGGCCATAATAACTGGTGCACGATGTAAGCACATTGATGCCTGGCTAATGGGAACCCATTTTCATGGACTAGGAGCAGGCCAGCCCCCAGGGGAATGAAAAGCCAAATATTTCTGGTATCCATAACTGGGCAAAGGCCCTCCTCACCTGTGAGGGGAAGCCTAATGGTGGCACTCCTGCCCACTAGGTCTGTTTTAGAGTTCCCAACTCTAATGACCAGCTCCAAAGCAGATAAGGAAAAGTCCTGAAGCAATAAGCCTCCATACTCTCAGCCCCGTGCTGGCTCCAACACAATTTCCCCAACCCTCAGTGCACCAAAAATGCAATGGAATACTGAAAGGAGTCTCGCCTTGATCTTTAACCAGCAGACAAGTTATAACTTGTTGCAGATACTGCATAGGTAAAAACTGACCGACTTCCTGCCCACTGTCGTATGAGGTTGGAGCCTATTCCAACCTTCCAAGGCCCTGCACACAACAGACTTTATACCAGGGTCTCTGCAAATTAAAGCTTTACTTTAACAGACATTGCAGCAGACTGAATACTGATAGTTTTAACAGCACATCCAATCTGCAGCAGGTGGACCAAAATACTGCAGGATCTGCTCAGTGGATGGGGGCAAGTTCCTCTGAATGGCCAAGGGCTGTCAACTAAACCCTAAGAAATCCATCCAGGCCTTCTCATAAGAGCTAAAAGCAGAAGGGGAATGGAAACTGCTACTCCCTGTAATTACTAATTGTTGTCAAAGTGCAACAGGTGGTCCGGAAAAGTCCGGCAATAGCTGAGAGTCTGGAGCCCAGGATCTGAAGCACTCCATCTGAAAATGGGATAGAGTGTCAGCAATATAATTAGAGGATCCCATAATCAGGTGAGCAGCAAGCACAATATTAAACCTTAAGCAGTGCAGCTCAAAAGCGTGAGCGGAGGGGTGGAGACTCTGCTGGAGCGTGAGGACTGTTCTGCCAAGATGCTCACCACTGCCTGGTTATCAGGCCAAAAGCCGATCCAACGGTCACTGAACTCCTCGGTCCAGATGTGAACTGCTACTACAATGGGGAAAACTCAAGCAAAGTTAGGACACATGACAGCCTCACCACACCAGGCTTGAGGCCATGGCTTTGCACACCAACAGCCCCTGAAATAAAAACCAAAGGCCAAAGATCCAGCAGCATCAGCATGAACCTGAAAATTGCTGTGCAGGTTCAAGGTATCCTGCCATGGTGAACTACTATTGCATCCATTTAGGAACTGCAACCACCGCATGAGATCCGCCTTCCCCCTCACTTGGTAAGCGTACACGAAGGTAAGGGGACCTCGGGCCACAGGCAGCCTGGCCAAGTGGGAACGGAAGGGGTGGCCTGGGGCAACCAAGCTGCATGCAAAATTAATTTAACTGACCTAGCAAATGATAGGATTTGACAAAGCAACACTTGCTTCAGAAGAAGTATAACAAAATAACTTCCTTGAAGGCAAACAGCTTCCCCACAGGCAAGCAGATGTTTGAGCAACGGTATCCAGCTAACCCCCAAATATTAAGAGGGGGTCCCATCCACTGCCTATGAAACACCCAGCTCCTCAGAGGGAATAAAGGATGTCTAGCAAGCCTACACAGAGGCTGGTGTCACATGAACCAGCCAGTAAAATAATCCAAAAAATGGTACCCCCAGTTAAATGAGTATAGACTCGCACTGTTCAATCCAGAAAGGCGCTAAAGGACTCGAGTGCTGCACAGTCTATTGTGCAACCCATCGGCATCGCCTTATCAATATAAGGAGCCCCATCCAAATTAAAGCCCAACCACTTAAAATCTCGTGGGTGAACCAGCAGCAGCCTAACAGCCGTTTCAATATAGCATATTGCCAACAAGGCACCTCTTCCAATTTTGTGGTAAGCTCAACCGCCTGCTCCAAAGACGTGAACTTCGCGGAACAATTCCTTAAGGATAGCGTGATTCACTGAGGTGCCTTAGGGATGCGATAAATAAGGATCAGATGGAATTATATGGGGCTTTCTTAGGGGTCCCACCATACGTCCCAATGCAAGCTGCTACCTGACCTTCTTTCTGGCTACCTCAGGTGGCTCTCTAACTGACTTTTGATTTGCTGTATTCCGTGCCACTGGCTGAAAAGCCAGAGGAATCCTAAACCTTGAGAAAACCCTTTCCACAAGCACAAAGTCGCTGACTCCTCTAGATAACCTTTTAGCCAGGCTTTCGAGGGAGATAATTTTATGGGAATATGGGCCAGAGATGAGGAGCTATTGCTTGCCAGCTCCCAGCCCCTGCTTGGGCAGGGGGCGTCTTGTGCTGCCACCTAAGATGTGTGAATTTACAGGGCTGCCACTGTCCAGAACCCCTAAACAACAAAGCTGCCGCCGGGCCAGCTTCCTGCACACCAGTTTCAGGTTCTACTGCTCAGGGAATTTCCATTTGAAATGTGGAGCTGCGCAAGTGGTCCACACGTCCCCCTCCCTGCGATCCCAGCAAGCTGTGGGGATGATGGCAGCCCTGCGTCTAACATCCCCATCATAGTGAATTGCTACTTATAGAATCGTAGAGTTGGAAGGGACACCAACAATCTTCTAGTCCACTCCCTGTGAGGAAGTATAAGTATCATCTCTGCTCTTCTTTGCCCTCCCCTCCTGGATCGCCGCCTCTGAAGACGCTTTCTTCCAGAAGAAGGCACCTGGGGCATCAGCAAAACATCCTCTGCAGGAGAGGCAAGCTCTGGAGGCATCTGCAAAGGCCCTGCCATAGTCTGCAAAAAACTAAATAATGTGAGGAACCAGTGAAACCAATGCTTCATGCACCACATGGGGACGCTATTCAGGCCGGAAATTGCTGCCAGAGGCCATCAAATTCTCAAGGAAAGCCCTAGGATCACCTGCTAGGCCAGACATAAAATGTTTCGCAGGGAAGGCCTGCCAGGCTAACAAGGCCAAAACCAGCCCTTTAAAGAATAGGGTGGGGGGGGAGCTCATGGCAAGGCCTCCCAAGGGCCTGGCAATGCGGGAGGCACCCCCCGCCGCGGTGCGGCACCAGGCGCCGCCAAAAAAGGCCTAAAAAACGGCCGCCCAAGGCCAGGCCGAGGCTGCTGCGCCCTCAGCCAGGCCCACCCTTCACCCAGGACTGGCAGAAAAGGGGCAGCCGGGGCAACGAATTAAAGAAAACAGGCCTTGGAGAGGCCTGTCACCAAATTAGAAGACCCAATGTTAAGGTAAGCTAAAGGGGGGGGGAGTAGGGGGGAATTAAAGACCAAAGGGGGGTGGGAAAGCAGAGTAAAATTAAAAGAAAATATTACACGGAAAAAGGAAATTTAATAGGACTAAAATATCAATTAAATATAAGCTAACGCAATTAAAGCAGGCCAAAGACACAAGGTAATTTGTAGAAAAATACAACCGTCTCCTTTCGCTGTGATCAATCCGATACACGGTCGAAAAGAGGAAGCCCTAGCCTTGTGCAAGGAGTTTTAGCATTTCTGGCTGTCAATCAACAAATGGCAACATTAACTTCCTCCCAACAACAAGGGAAGCCCCAATCGCATCAGTGGCCAACAAACAATTAGCCCACCCTCAACTTTGGAGTGTCCTGGCGGTCCCCACCGCAACACGTGCTCTCCATGAAGGAGAACACGCTTTGTGTGTTTCATGAATTTAAGATAAAATGCAGACTCTATTTTTCTCTCAAGAGGTGAAGAATAATGCAAATAGTTTCCTTACTTAAAATTCTATCCATATACCTTACTTTTTAGAGAGTTATTCCTTTAATTACTCCAAACGTAAGAGATTTGGGAGAGAAAATGGACATGCATTTAAAATAACCATTCCTTAAGTATTTTGAATGGAATGTATTCATCTCCATTGCGGCCTCCAGAGCGGCTTGAATCAAGGGCAGAATGACAGAGCTAACTCCCCATTCCTTTTACGGATATTTAAAGAGCCTATCCATTCGGCTATTGAACTTGGCACTGTGCAGCACTTTTCGTACTCCATATATCTCAGAGTGCTTTATAAAGTAATGAGTAGTTACTAGTAGTACAGCAACTGTACAGGCAAGCAAGGTGACCATTACTCATTCTGCAGTAGCATAGGCACATGTAGCCTCAGTCATTAGAAACAGGTTCTCTGGAGCAGAATCTTGGCCAAGACAGGAAGCTTATTCCCATCTCCAGCAAAGTAGCCTCTAATTTTTATGTTAGGAGAAAGGGAAAATTGAGGTTTTTCCTTACCACCCGGCTATAATTCATTTGGGAAGCATGCCATTACTTTTGAACTCTTCTATGATCCACAGAAAGAGGATAGGGAATTAGGATAATGTGTGTTTTGCAGGAAATTGCCTATCAATCTATTCCTATAGTGTATTCATATTTTATCAGCCGGAGGTCTAAGGGAACTTGCCTCTCCCTCCAAAACTGCCACACAAGCACCCAACCTTCCGACTTACAGAAAGGAAGCTTTCTGTGTGTGTAAATGGGAGACTTGATGGGCCGAGAAGGTGAAGAGCTTTGATTCAAGGAATGTGATTCTAGAGTACTAGAAGTGAGGCAGCTGCAATAGAGGAGCAGGCACCACAAGGACCTGTTGAAGCTGTTGGGGTGCATTCTAAAAGTTGCAAAATTATGTCAGCCTATGATTGGGGATGAATGCTAAATAGTTGGTTTCTCTCTCTCTCTCTCTCTCTCTCTCTCTCTCACACACACACACACAGAGCTAGACTTTGACTTCAGTGAAGTCAGAATCATAACATTTGTTGCTGTGAGCTTTACAAAATACTACACATATAATTTGGTGTATGCAGCCAAGTTTGCAGTCTTAAGTATATTTATTATGAAGCAATTCCATCTGAAATGAAGCTTCAACCAAATGTCAAGTAAACACAAGTAGGATGACACTGAAATGAACATTCATATTCTGTGTAATGCTTTTGCAACTCAGAAATGGTTGTGCTTCTCTTGAGTTCTGTTTCTCAAGCCAGGGCTATTTCTCTAGTCCAACAACTCATGGAAACCACAGTTCCTGCTCTGTGTTACCTTACTATTACCTACAGGGATGATGATAATAATAACCCAATTTATTGTACCTTTCTCCTCCGGAATCCCAAGAGGACAAGGCTAAAACAATAAATGCATCACAATGGTGCTCAGAGAGTCTCAGATGTACCGAAGCACACTATATAACTGTTAAAAGACTTGCATATATATCCCACACTGCACATTTCAGCTCTTCCACATTAGTAGGCAAGCATAAAGCAAAGTCACAGGATTAAGATTATGCCAGGACCTACCAGTGTCTAACATTTATATAATCAGCTTGCTTAAATGGGGATAAAAGTAGTAATTACCTAGCAACTTTAGTAAGTACAAGAAACAGATTCGAAAGCCAAGGAAGGTTCACGGAGATAACAGATTGTAAGGCAATAGAGGTATCCCAAAAGGCTTGTGAATGCAGCCAATGGTTAATCTTGTTACAATGACAGATTTTATCTCAATTGTTTGTTCAAAGGATTTTCTGAGGCATGCAGGCTGATGGGAATTGGGGCACTTCCAAAGAGCAGCCGCCGCCTCCATTTTCATTTGCATAAGTCTCTGTGGCTACAAAAACAGGCACAGGCTTAACTCTTTCAAATGAATGTCATATATATATATATATATATATATATATATATTTCCCATAATAGTGACTCAAGGGACATACAAAGGACGCCACACACAGACGCAGAAGCAAGGAAACTTGACAACTGACACATGTGAGCCATTCTGAATTGGACTGATGCTCTGCAGGTGCCAGGAAGTGAGGAGCGAAAAGGGAAAGGGGGGGAGGGTCCTACCAACATATCCAAAATTAAAAAATATTCCATACCTCACGGTGCTTTGAGCCATAGAAAATTTCACTGGGGCAGCCTTTTACAGGATCGTTTCATATGAGAATAGAGTGCTGGGGGTGATGTTTTGATGCATGTGTTTTCATAATTCATGTTTAGATAAATTGAGAACAGTACTTCTTCACACAGCACAGTTAAACTATGGAATTTAGACCCACAAGATGCAATGGTGGCCAGCAGCCCACATGGTGGCCCTCCAGAAGTTTTGGGACTACAATTCCCATAATCCCTTACCACTGGTCCTGTTAGCTAGGAATGATGGGAGTTGTAGTCCCAAAACATCTGGAGGGCCAAGTTTGGCCATGTCTGCCCTAGAAAGATATATTTAGCAGTTTGTTTGTTTATTGTTTATTGCGTAGATACCCCACCTTTTTCTTCGAGGAGCTCAAGGAGCCATACATAGTTTTCCCCTTCTCCTTTAATCCCCACAGCAGTCATGTGAGGTAAGTTAAGGTGAGAGGCAGTGACAGGCCCAAGGTCACCCAGTGAGCTTCATAGCCAGGTGGGAATTTGCACCCTCATCTCCCAGGTCCTAGTCTGACACTAAGAAATACACCACACTGGCTCCCAAGCTCACCTTCAAGGTTGTAAAACAAAAGATCCCTGAAGGAGAGAATGTTTTCAATCTCTCCAAGTTTGTTGGACATGGTAGAATACAAATTCTTCCTGCATGTTGAACAGTGAAAAACTATCCTCATTACATTTTTATTTTTTTTGCAAGTCTCCTGTTATTTGTTCTGCCTGTGAACCTCTGTCTTGCCTCTGCAAAACTCTTTCAGCAAACTCCCTGGGAAGCCAGTCAGTGAACCAATCTGGCGGATGGTGTCAGAGATTTAATGCAGCACTCGGCTAGAGAGAATAAGCAGGGAAGTGGAGAAAGTCCTTACTTTGTGTATGACAAAATGAAATTATCAGTCTTCCCTCTTTGGGCTGTCATCTTTTATATTCATAAAAAGAGAGAGCGAGAGTTCAATGCAGGATCTTTAGGAAAACAGCCTAAAAGGCATTGGCATTGTGCTTTATTCCACTTGAAGCCTTATTTAGCAAATTAGCTGTCCATTTCTGTGAACATATATAAACCCTGCATGCAGATGACAGTCTGGCTGGAGGCAGAAAGATAAAGTTCTTTATTGTTCTGCCTAACCCTTCTGGGAATGAGTTGCCTGCATATTATTAGATCAGATTAGATTTTGAGATGTATAACCTCCCTATTCACAGAGGCTCAGAGAAGATAACAACTTCATAAAAAAGCCCAGGAAGCTAATACATTGTATTTTCAAACTTTATTTTTTAAAAAATAAATCACATACATATTTGAGAAATTAAACTAAGCTGTCCCACCACCGCACCATCTCAGGCTTCTGCCTCACACCCAATAGAGACCAGCTCAACAATCAAAACTGGAACAATACCTTTTATTTGCCAGGTTATATTTTTGCCTCACACTAGGGGGGCAACAAATCTCCTAGAATATATTTCTAGTATGATCCTTTTTGCACAGGTAGATTCCTCCTACAACCTAGAGATGGTTCGTGTCAGTTTTACATGTGTTCCTTCTGTTACTAAGGAGAAATCCTATGCACCAGAAGCTGGCATAAAGCAAGCTGGTGCAAGTTAAGCAGATGTAAAGTTACACCAGATCCACACACTATTCAGCAGCGGGGCTATTGCTGGCTGACCTTGTCGAAGTCTGGCAGAGGGAAAACAAGCCTTTAAAACATGGTTCAAGTTGCACCACCATTTTGGGTGGTTTAACTTACACCAGGATTCCAGGCCACAGGACAGAGCTGAATGGGCTTTGAATCCAACATAAGCCTCCCCTCTCTAGTTCCACCCCCATCACACCCACTTTTTAAGGTTTACACCAACTTCAGATCCTTCAGGCCCAGCTCAGCTGGTAGGGTCCTGGTTCAGTCAGGCTGGGAGTCATATTCTGGCACATCCCTGAGCTGAGGGCGAGGGAGTTAAGCCGGTGTAACTTGACTGTGCCAGGAACTTCCCATCTCAGTTGGAAATCTGTTGGATACTAACCCCACAGTCATCCCCGTGGCTCTTGCTGTGGGATTGCTCCTTGAATGTGCTATTTAAATACAGTGGTACCTCAGGTTACATACGCTTCATGTTACAGACTCTGCTAACCCAGAATAGTGCTTCAGGTTAAGAACTTTGCTTCAGGATGAGAACAGAAATCGTGCTCTGGTGGTGCGGCGGCATCAGGAGGCCCCATTAGCTAAAGTGGTGCTTCAGGTTAAGAACAGTTTCAGGTTAAGTACAGACCTCCGGAACGAATTAAGTACTTAACCCGAGGTACCACTGTATATATATCTGAAGACATCTGAAGGCAGCCATGTTTAGGGAAGCTTTAAATGTTTGATGCATTACTGTATTTTAATATTTGTTGGAAGCCGCCCAGAGTGGCTGGGGAAGCCCAGCCAGATGGGCGGGGTATAAATAAATTATTATTATTATTATTATTATTATTATTATTATTATTATATTTAGTTACATCTTTTATTCCAATGTGCACAATTCTAGGCAGATTTCATGATAAAATATTCAGTTTAACACACTTTAGCCCACTTGAGCTGGGAAAGATAAGGCAAAAGGGGAAGAAATGTAAATAGGAACAGAGAGGGCTGCTCTATGACTCGGACCATTGGTGCATTTAGCTTAGTATCATCTACACTGACTGGCAGCAGCTCTGTAGGGTCTCAGGCAGGAGTGTTTCTCAGCCTTATCTGGAGATGCTTCCAAGCGAACTTTCTGCATGAAAAACATGTGCTGTGCCACTGAGCTCTATCCCTTCTCCTGAAGGATAATCACATTGCAACCCACACATTAGTCTGCAGATGGTTTGGATCAGGTCAGTTCACAATGGACTTCAGAGAAATTGAATTCCTCCTCAAGGATTCTGACTGCAAACAATGCTTTTCCCCGCTCTTCCAACCACGTGAGGGAACCATTAACATTTCCAGAGCCCCTCTCTACATCCCTGCTGCTTCCCCGCCTCTCTTAATATATCAAATATACTAAAGTATTCAAAGCACTACACATTATACCAGCAATCCTAATAACCCCAGTTTATAATTCCCATGTAGTACAGATGGAGGGGACACTCCAAGTGAGAGCTAGTTGCTTGCCTCATACCCTCTGGGTGAATAAAGGAAACATTTGGACCACATAATTTCCAGTTCACTGCTCATTGCCTTTGCTACAGTAGATCTTCTGCTTAGATAATAGCTAGCATGGCAAGAATTCTGCTCATATGGATTACTTTGTCAATCCTACCACAGCTCATCCAGGATCTTAAATTAGCATTTCCCCTCCAAAACTTCACTTGCAAGGGGCAAAACTAGGGATGCAGAATCTGTGGACTTCAAGATGTTGGCCTCTAACAGCATGGCCAGTAGCCAAGAGTGATGGGCACTGGAGACTAACAAAATATCGGGGGACTCAGATTCCTCATCCCTGAACTAAATTAAAAACTTTTCATATGAAAATCATGTACCCCATCACTAATCTATGGGCACTTCCAGAAAGTCCCATTTCTTCACTCAAACAAACAGCTGGCGCACTGATGCATTTGTGTTACACTTTCAGTAGGAGTCAAATTAAAGGCTATCACATCTCATCTGGAATGCTTTTCAGCAGATGTGATCCCCAGCATACAGTCACCATTAAATAGATGATCAGGCATATAAATGGGTATTCACAGTATTCTCTGTGTTTCTGCAATGCACACTCCACACACGAAAGAATAACTCCTTTCTTCCCAACTAGAAAACATACCATAGACATACCAGGCTGCTAATGCTAGCCTTGGACCTGAACCAGCACCTACTAAGCTCATGCTGGAGAGAAGGTATGTACCAAAAGTATATCAAATGACCACTTGTGAGGTAAAACCATTTGCAAAATGTAGAAGAGATACATTTTATAAACCCCATTAGGGTATTTTCAGTGACAGGTTCTATTATTGCTAAGTCAGAGAGGTATATTAGTTTAGTGCAATTCACTGGTAGAAAAAATTAAACAGACAAATGTCTGAAATGGAGAAATCCATTAAATCCATGGAGAAATCCATTATTTCTGGCAGTTTGGGCAATCTATTATTTGGGTAAAGTTTCTGAACACTTTTATATTTTAAAAAAATATTCAGCACTCTCAAGCTGGTCACTCTTCTATCACTATTTCTTTCTCAAAATTGCATGTTGACTATGTCTAAGAATGAAATTCTAACCATGTTTCCTCAGAAGTAAGTCCTACTGAATTCAGTAGGACTTACTTTGAGGTAAGTGGGGTTAGGATTTCAGCTTAAGCTATGGGTTGGGGTTAGGGTGAAAAGAACAAGAGAATTACGGTATGTGATCAAAAGTCAACTCCCAGGTGCCAGTTTTTGTTTCCACTCTTCATGACAAAGAAAGAAACAGCAAGAGTGTCTACTGTTTTACAAAAACTAGCAAGTAGCTGGGTTTCTATTCTATAGGCCAGGGTAGGGGATTTTTTTGGACTCCAACTTCCGTCAGCCCCAGCAAGAATGGCCAATGATCTAGAATGATGGGAGTTGTAGCCCAGAAACAACTGGAAGGCCAAAGATCCCCCATTCCTGCTGTAGACAAACTGCCCGAACACCAACAGTGAAAAATGAGTGAACAAGGAGAAAAATCATTTTCCTGCTTTTCGCCATATGAACCTACCCAAGATCCTGAGAACAACACCTAAAGATCTTCTCTGTGTGCCCCTCTGGTAAACTGCAGTGAGAGCATGGGTCTTTTCTGTGGTAACCCCCAAATGGTGGAATGATCTCTCCAGGGAAACCCACCCAGCACTGTATTTGTCATCTTTCCAGCACCAGGCAAAAATGTTATTTATTCCCCTGGACATTTGGACAGCACATTTGTTGGCTACTGGAATTCATCCTGTGTGGAGGGAATAGATACATTGTGCTGCTTTAGATGACTTTTTCTTTGGATGAATACTTCTCTTCTCTTCTCTTCTCTTCTCTTCTCTTCTCTTCTCTTCTCTATAACCCATCTTTTCCTCAGACATATTTCCCTGACATATTTAATATTTTCTATTTTGTTCATATAAATCACTTTAGGGTGCCTCAAGATGTGCAAAGTGATATACAATGGTACCTCGGAAGTCGAACGGAATCCGTTCCGGAACTCCGTTTGACTTCCAAAATGTTTGGAAAACAAGGCGCGGCATCCAATTGGCTGTAGGCAGCTCCTCAAGCCAATTGGAAGCTGCAGAAGCTGCGTCGGATGTTCGGGTTCCAAAGAATGTTTGCAAACTGAAACACTCACTTCCGGGTTTGCGGCATTCGGGAGCCAAAACATTCGACTTGCAAGGCATTCGTGAATCAAGGTACAACTGTATAATTGTAACTAACCTCTCTCAGTGCTACACAATTCAATTACACAATGTCAAACATTGGCTTTTTAACATTGTAACCACCACAGCATTGCTGTTGTTAATGTATGTAAAGTACTTATTATTATTTCAGTAATCATTATTATCTAACTATAAGTATTACTATCCAAATATTTACAGATGGAGATGCATATGTGCTGAAATGTAGAAAACAGGAGCTTGCCTAAAGCTACCATGAGCTGCCGTCTATGCCTCATTCTTCAAAGCAGCCAGGAGCAATGTTCTTCCTAAGCTTATCTTACATCTTACATCAGCAAAGGAAGGAAAGGTCCATTCTCTTCAGGCCAGGGGTTCTTGAGGAATGCAAACGCTGTACATTGTGGGCCCAGGTGCAGTGAAGCCACGGGCAGAGGACTGAGGCATGGTGAAGTTGCAATAAACACAAGACAACTGCTTGGGACTTAAACAGGCCACAGCTTTTTAAACAACAGGTGTGTATCCTGAATTAACCAACCTACCTGCTGGTTGATTATTTAGCAGAATTTATCAAGGTTAAGGATCACCCGATGACATACATCAAATTAGGGTGAACAGGATTTAACAAGATACCCTAACTAGGGTGAAGAAGCCTCACATTTAGATCTACATAGCCAGCTGATAACCTTTGGCCAGTCACAATCTTCCAACACAACGTACCTCATATAGTTGTGGGGATAAAATGGGAGAGAGGAGCAGACACGTATACCCTGAGCACCTTGGAGTTAGGACAACATGAAAATGTAAATAAATACTTATCCAACTACACTGCTAATTTTATACCCATGCATAAATGAATTAACTATTTATGTGTGCACCATCCGCCATGACTGCCTAGCCGATATTGTTTCCAGTGAACCTGTTTATTCATCCTTATTTGTTTGGACAAAATTTACAGGGAGGTTATACAACACTGGCTGCTTACTGGGCATTCATTTGGATTTATTTGCAAAAAGCCTTTGTCATGCTGCCTCAAGCAATTGTCCCCATACTTTCAATGCATTTAATAACAACAACAACAACAACAATTTATTATTTATACCCCGCCCATCTGGCTGGGCTTCCCAAGCCACTCTGGGTGGCTCCCAACATAATATTAAAAACACAATACAGCATTAAACATTAAAAACTTCCCTAAACAGGGCTGCCTTCAGATGTCTTTATTTCCTTGACGTGTCTTGGGAGGGTGTTCCACAGGGCGGGTTCCACTACCAAGAAGGCCCTCTACCTGGTTCCCTGTCATCTCACTTCTCACAGGGAGGGAACCGCCAAAAGACCCTCAGAGCTGGACCTCAGTGTCTGGGCAGAATGATGGGGGTGGAAACATTCCTTCAGGTATACTGGGCCGAGGCCATTTAGGGCTTTAAAGGTCAGCCCCAACACTTTGAATTGTGTACGGAAACATACTGGGAGCCAACGTAGGTCTCTCAGGACCGGAGTTATATGGTCTTGGTGGCCGCTCCCAGTCACCAGTCTAGCTGCCACATTCTGGATTAATTGCAGTTTCCAAGTCACCTTCAAAGGTAGCCCCATGTAGAGCACATTGCAGGAGTTCAAGTGGGAGATAACTAGAGCATGCACCACTGTGGCGAGACAGTCTGTGGGCAGATAGGGTCTCAGCCTGCGTACCAGATGGAGCTGATAAACAGCTGCCCTGGACACAGAATTGACCTGCACCTCCATGGACAGCTGTGAGTCCAAAATGACTCCCAGGCTGTGCACCTGGTCCTTCAGGGGCACACTTACCCCATTGAGTACCATAACCTTCCTTACTGCAAAAAGTCAGATTTTGGGATAGGAGTGGGGGAACAGGTTTGTTAACCAAAGACCATCAAATCCACTTTAATTTGCACAGTCTGAATTTGCCAGTATTAGACTGAATCCTACCAAGAAGATATCAAGAGTGGAAGCATCCTGAATCTATAAATACCAAGGAGTGGGAGAAAAGGGCAAAACAATGCATGGGCGACAGGCTGTGTTCAGTTTTGTGGATCCTAATTTGGCCAGAGAGATAGAACAAAATGTGAAATTCAGTTGCTCAAAGACCACTCCAGATTATCTGAAATCAGCCAACAATTAAACAACAGGACATTTAATCACTCATTGTTTCATTTAGGCTGTAAGTTCTAAATGGATTCTGAAGGTCATGACTTAAACAGAGGGAGCTGTATTTTCTATTTTGGTCTGGTTTTAATTTGGGTAATCTTCCCATTAAATATAGCTATTTATGACATTTGTTAAAAGCCTATATTGCTAATTTAACTTTTAAAAAAATTCTAATGGAGTTGTATTGGAAGTTTTCCATAAAATTAATGTCCCAGACTTAATGGATGTCTAAGGTATCATTATTAACGGGAATATTCCATAAACTAAAATCAGACCTTTTGAATGGGTGATGTGATACAGTTAGATCGGAACTTATTTAAAACTGGAAAAGAGCCAAAGTACCTAGGAATTCAATTTAAACACCTTATGGAGGTTAATGCTTTTACAGTATTTACTTTAATTAGTACTTTATTAAATGCCCAGTTTTACTAGCATGTTGGAGTGAAATACCTGCCAACCTGTGGGTAGAAAGTTTTTTTTAGAGGTGAGACCACTTTATTGTCTTTCCCATCCTGCCAATATCACAATTTTCCTATATTATTTTTGGTGCTGCATTACTCTAGGCAACATTCATTTAACAACCGTAAAATTACTGGGCATTACAGGCTGAACTGTAGCCATTCCCCATTCAGGTGTGTGGGAGGGGTGATCAAAAGGGTCTTCTATACAAAAAAGCAGGTGATCCAGCTTCATGGATTTCTAGACATCCTACAATTAGTCTAATAACTTTAATGATAGTGAGGAATTTGCCTTACAAATTAATAAACTGCCCCGGGAGTTTCCAACTTCAATTATTCTGTATGTACTCCTTTTTCCAGAATACACAATCGTTTGTCTTCATAGCCATCTAGGATTTTGTACTCATGTGAGAAGAATGCAATACTGCTGTATTAGACTGAATGGGAATATAGACGTCTTATAGACTGTGCATGTGGATATGATAAGACGGCCATCTTCAAATATCTGAAGGACTGTCACATGGAAGGTGGGAGCAAGCTTGTTTTCTGCTGTTCCAGGGGATCAGATCCAAACCAATGGATTCAAATTGCAAAAAATGAGATTCCACCTAAACATTAGGAAAAACTCTTTTTTTTTTTTTTTTTTACAGTGATAACTGCTTGACAATGAAACAGATTACCCTGGAAGCTGATGGACTCGCCTTTGTTTGAGGTTTTTAAACAGAGGTTAGATGGTCATCTCTCAGAGGTTCTTTAGCTCTGATTTTTGCATGGCTGGAGATTGGACTAGATGTCCCTAGGAAATTAGAATAAAATGGCCTGAGCAGTTAATTCCATTCTTTTCCCATCTCAGTTAATCATAGGACTGTTCCATCCTCTGTGTGTGTGGTGTGTGTGTGTGTGTGTGTGTGTGTGTGTAATATCTATTTTGCTGATTTTCAAAAATCCAAACATACAACAACAAAAAATTCAAAATCCAAATATCGAGATTACTCTGAATATCCTGACTTCCCCCCCATCCATTCCATGGGTCCTTTTGATTCTATTTTCAACTGAATATCAATACTTCTCCTTTTTTACATCTTCCTAAGTTATTTATATGTTCTATTACATTACAAGTGTATTTAAAATCCTGCTAATGTTTTGACCTGCTTGCAATGATTTTGTATATACCGTCCCATTCTTTTTTAAAAATTACTTGTCTTCTTGATTCATGAGTGGATTTTTAAGTGTATTTTGTTCACAAGATGTGCACTTTTAAATGTAAAGTGACACTTTCCTATGTTTTTCAGTGAATTCATCCATAAAATGTGCACTCCCCCCCCCCCCAGTGCGCCCCTTTTCACACAAAAACTGCACTAGGAATCCAGGGAGGTCCATAATCGTACTGTGATTTGTGTTCTGATCCACATGCAAGCTCTAGAACATCAGATAGGGTTGGTTGGTCTGCTGCAAAAAGCAGAACAAATGAATACTTCTTGATCCCTAATCCCATAATGGCAATCATCACGGAAATGATTCTTAAATTAAAAAAGAAAAGAAAATTATATGAGTGGATCCCCTTTCAGGAAAGAGAGAGCCAGTATTTTATTAAGTTTAGGAAACACAGTCCTAAATATAGTAGGGAACCAGCAGCTGCATGTCACAGATTTTAATTAAAATTAAAGCTATCCAAGTCTTAAAATACCTGAGCATATGGGCCAGCAGAGTGATTCAGTACATTGGCAAGGATATTAACATCTCCTTTCTAGGCATGGTGGAATAGAGCCAATATTTTTAAACTAGATGCTTCTTCAAAGCATTTCCCATTGGCTGCAAGTTCCACTCAGGCCTTGAACATCTCTGTCTTGACAGTTTGGTGAATTCTACCAGGCTGATGGAGGAAGAGCCCAGTTATAGACGGTTGGTTCTAAACTGCAAGTACAGGATTTGTGACTCATGACAGGTAAACTCAATGTTGTATCCTGAGTTATATACAGTGGTGCCCCGCAAGACGAATGCCTCGCAAGACGAAAAACTCGCTAGACGAAAGGGTTTTGCGTTTTTTGAGCTGCTTCGCAAGACGAATTTCCCTATGGGCTTGCTTCGCAAGATGAAAACGTCTTGCAAGTTTGTTTCCTTTTTCGTAAAACCGTTAAAACCCAGGGTGCATTGCTTGAAGAGGTGCAGTTGCGACTTGACTTCGAGGAGCAACTCATAGCACGCGGTGTGGTAGTCTTTTTTGAGGTTTTTGAAGACTTTGGCGATTTTTGAAGCTTTTCCAAAACTTCTTTTGCAGCCATTTGGTAAGTTAAACTTTTAAAACTTTTTTGGGGGGTTTTGGATTTTGGGTTGGGGTGTTTGGAATTCAAGGACTTGATGTAGGGGAGGGGTTTGCAAGAATCTGGAAGCTTGTGTGTTTTTTTTCCTGCATTTTTATGATTTTTTGTGACCATTGGGCCACTCTGCTGTTTTTTTAAAAAAAAAAAATCTGGATTTGAATGAAGATAGATAGATAAATTTATTGTCATTGTCCGTATATACACAGTATACCCAACAACGAAAATCAAACACCCACTCGAAGACCGGGAAGCAGCAGACCATGGACAGGTTCTTCAGCAAGAAGCAAAGAGTGGAAGAGGAACCTTCTTCGAGTTGTCCCCCAGAGTCTTAGAAAATGTACTTTACACTTTGTTGATTTTTAAATGTTTTTCTGTCATGTTTAGAAACTTAATTTATTGTTCCTTCAGTTTTTGCAATGCTCTTTACAGTATGTGTGACTTTAAAGAGCACTTAATAAACTCTTGTTGTACCAAATTTGGCTTTGTTTGGACTTTTTTTGACCATAGGAACGCATTAATTGAATTTCAATGCATTCCTATGGGATTTCGTGCTTCGCAAGATGAAAAATTCGCTAGACGAAAAAACTCGCGGAACGAATTAATTTTGTCTTGTGAGGCACCACTGTATACTCTTAAGTTATGTCAACTAAAGTAGTCATACAGCTGCCCATATCCCATTTTCCTCTTCCACCCTTCTCCATACATTTGTCAACTTCAAACTCCATCAGCTGTTTTTCTACTCTCAGTCTCATGCTGTTTTTGATCAGTCTCTCTCACTCTCTCATCCTGAACATTCAGCTATCATTTCTGTCTGGGAATCCTTCACATTACACCACGCCTCATGAGTAGAGGAAATCACATATATAGCTACAGACACGGTCATCCAAGCCTGCTTCTCCTACCAGACTCCTAAAAACTTTGAAATGCATCACATAGGAAATGAAGACATTTCCGTATGTTTCTACATCCACATCTATAGGACATAAAAGTGAGCAGAAGAGTCCAAGTAAATGTGGATGCACTTGAATGTTTTATATGTAGAGGATCCTTTTCTAACAATGAGTTCTTCACACAAAGTTCCCTGGCATATGCTTCAATTGTGCCATTGTTCTGACCATAGCTGTGGCACATTTCCTCCTGTGCAACTGGAGAAGAATAAATA